CACACTTACACATAAACAATAATAACAATACACATCAAATCGACAATAATCAAAAACACAACTGTACGTTATTAAAAATATTTATTTTTAATTAAATTTTTAATTTATCTTTTTTTTTTTTTCTCCTTTGAACTTTTTTTTATTTAACATCAATTTTTTTGATTTATCTTTTTTTTTATATCATTTAATAAATATCCTTTTACATTTTATATTTATTTATATTATATTATAACTAAATATATTAGTGTGGAACATAGCAACATCATAAATTGTAAATATTCAATTTTTTTTTTTATAATAATTAAATTCACAACAATACCAAGTGAAGTTATCACACAAACACTTTTTTTTTAAAAGTACCCACACATTGGGTGTGGTAGTGGGGTGTGTTGGCTTAAAAAAAAAAAAAACTAAAAAAAAAAAAAACTAAAAACACAATTGACATATTACACCTAATCTTCATTAAAGAGGTTAAATTATTAATAGTAGTTATGATAATATATATATGTGATCACATTTTATCTCCCTATTTCTCATAAAAATAATAATAGTTTTTTTGTCTCTTTGTTATAAAAAAATTATATAAAATTCAAAAATAACCTATTTTAAAAAATTAAAAAAAAAAAATTAAAAAAAAAAAAAATAATTATTTTATTTTTTTTTATTTTTTTTATTTTTTTTTATTTAAAAAAAAAAAGGATCAAAAAAACTCACACCACAAAAATTCTTTCAATAATTCCTTAAATTTACATAGACCCACTGTATTTTATTTTGTATAATAGATAAATAATAAAAATAATAAAATAATTCAAACAGACAAAAAAAAAAAAAAAGTAAATAAATAAAAAAAACATATTTATTCAAATTAAAAATTCACACACAACCACAAGCACATTAATTTTTTTTATTAAATATAACTCACTCACCACCATACAAACACACATTATAAAACGTAATACACAGAAACAGATAATATTTCAACACATAAAATTTCAAACACACCCATCCAACTTATAATAATTAAATCTCTCACCAACCCTATTGTCAATTTTTGAAAATTATTAGAGTAATATTTTCAATTAAACTTTTATTGGCTTATTATCTAAATGTGTTTTTATGATCAGTTAGAGTGTTTCTAAATTAAATATTTTTTCTTATTATTATTTTTAATCACACACAACCACTATCACATATAAAATTAATTAAATTTTTTTCTTTATTTTTTTATTTTTTTATAATAATTATTATTTTTTAACCAATATTTAAAAAAATAATAATTATTATTATTTATTAATATATCTATTTTTATATTATTTATTTATTTATTTATTTATTTATTTATTTATTTATTTTAATATTAATTTTTTTTATTAATCTTTAAAAAAAAAGAATTAGAAAATCAAACAACAAAATCAAAATTTGGATTAATAAATAGAACAAAGAGCAATAGTTCATTACATATTAGTGAAATTAAAAATAAATTTTTATCACCAACAGGTCCCAGCAATAATAATAGTAATAATAGCAGCTATTCAGAAGGGCAACCATCAAATAACGTCGGTACAGCAATAAATCCTACTAGTAATCAATATTTATCCCCAAATAGTAAAACAAAACCATCATCATCATCATTATCACAACCACAACCAATATCAAGCCATCACAAAACTAATAGTAGTAGTAGTTTAATTGTTGGAGGTAGTAATTTTCAAGATATTAAAGCAAGCTTTTCAAATTTAAGTAGTTCCTATAGTCATAATAGCGGTCTAAGTGGCCTAATATCACCAAGAATGCATAAATTTGAACAACAACAAAATAATAGTCCATCATCTTCATCTTCAACCACACCAACACCTCTATCACCAAATGGTAATTTAAAAGGTAGAAATGTTGCATCTATTATTGCAGCTAATGGCGCAAATTTAAATAAAAGTCTTAGTAACTTACAGCTTCAAGCAAATGGAGGTTTAAATAGTAGCACTGGCAGCAACAGTTCAATTAACTCATCCTCATCATCATTATCGAATAATAATATTTCAATATCATCATCATCCAATAGTATATATGGTCATCAACATCAAAATAGTAATGGCGGTCAAATGAGCTATATGGATTTAGACAATGGAAGCAATGGTACCATCGGTGAAGTTGCTAATCACCTATCATATGAACACCAAACCACTAGCACCACATCAAAATCAATTTCAGAAACCATTGAAATCATGGTTATTGGTGATGAACTTTCAAATAAAGCCAGATTTATATCATCATTTTTAAACAATGGCATTGGTGATGATCCAACACTCGATGTTTCAACAAAGAAATCTTTAGCTATTCAATCAGGTGCCTACACTGTAAATATTAATACCACAGTAGGTCAAGAAGAGTTTTGGGGAATCAATGATATTTTCTATCGTTCAAGTCAAGGTTTTATTTTTGTATACAATGTGAACAACAGAGAATCATTTCTTTCATTTTTAAAATTCCGTGATAAGATTATCCATGAAAAATCAACAGAAAACATTTTAATGACAATGGTTGGTCTTACATCACCATTAATCAACAGCGAAACTGGAGAAGAATCATCAATTAGAGAAGTCACCACTACAGAAGCCAAACGTATGGCAGATCTTTATAGCTGTTCATTTGTTGAACTCTCCAGCTTTGGTTTAGATTGTGAACATCAAATTCAATCAATTGTCACCGATCTTTTAGGCCGTATTACCAACTATCAATCCAATGTAAACAACAGTAGCGATTCTTCCCAACAAACCTTAGAACTCTTGATGTTGGGTGATATTTTCGTTGGTAAAACTCAAATTATTCAAAGATTATTAGGTAACAACTTTTCTTTTGCTTACAAAGAGACTACAGAATGGAACAAAAACGTAATTCAAATGACTGTAAACGATGTTAGATATATGATAAAGATGGTCGATACATGCGGTCTCGACATTGAGGAGACACTCAACAGAGAACGTTTGGTCAGCAGTCAAGGTTTTGTCTTTGTATACTCTATTTCCTCAAGAGAGTCATTTTTAATGATTGAAACTCTCAGAAAGAAACTTTTAGCGGTCAAGGGTGATTCTAAAATCCCTGCAGTTTTAATTGCCAACAAAGGTGATTCATTAATACGTCAAGTTACTTTCGATGAAGGTAGCAAAATGGCACAACATCTAGGTGGTCAATTCTTTGAAGTATCCTCATTTATGTCAGATGACGAATCTATCCTTTACCCAATCCAACAATTGGTCATGGATGTCCAAAAATCATCAAATAATACTGTAGAAATGGGTGAAATTAAAAAGAAAGGCTATTTGTTCAAAGAAGGAAAGAAATTAAAATCAATGTCAAAATATTATTTCAAAGTTAGCAAATGTACATTATCCTATTGCAAAAACGAAAGCAATAAAAGCAAATTTAAAAATGTTCAGCTATCTGAACAAATTCAACTTGCAATCCCTCACAGCGAAAAGAAAGATATTTGGCCATTCCAAGTTATTTTGGACCCTGTAAGCAAGCAATCCATTAATTTAATCGCAACCTCTGAAGAAGAAAGAAACTCTTGGATCAAAGCGATCAAATTTAATTGTTACTTGGAAGAGATAGCATGTAATATAATAGAGGACGTTGTTAAAAATATAGTTAGTGAAGTTGCACAACAACATTTACCAAATGGCCAATCTTTAAAAAGATCTGATACCATTCAACAATTCCAAAACTCGCCAAGTAAACCAAATATAAATGTGAATGGTTTATCTCAATCCACAAACTCCTCACCATACCACAGCCACCACTATAATCATCTCTCACAATCAACCTCATCCATGTCACCTGAAAAATTACAATCTGTACATTTATCATCCTCAAATCTTTCATCCTCAATGAGCAGCTACTCTTCATTATCCTCATCTTTTTCTTCATCTTATTCTGACTCAATATCTTCTTCACCACCCTCAAATGGTTCTGAACATCAATACCCACAATCACCGCAACTCAAAAAAAGTTTATTTCAAAGAACTACTTCATTTTCAAAATCAAAAGGTGGTAAATAAATAATATTAAAAGAAAAAAAAAACAACTTTATAGATAAAAATCATATCTTTTCAAAAAAAAAATTTTTTAAATAAAAGACTCCACCAATATATACAATATATAATTTAAAAAATTATATATGTACATATTTGTATTTATATAAAAAAAAAAACCTCGTATGATGTAATTTTTTTACACTTAATTGTGATATACACAATGCAAAAAAATTTCAAAATATCCATTGATTTTAGATTTTTCTTTTTTTTTTATTTTTTATTATTTTTTATTTTAAAATATAATTTTATTTTTTTATTTTTTTATTTTTTTATTGTTTTTTATTATTCAAATTAAAATTTTTATTTGTTTTATTATAATAAAAAGGTATTTTATTCTATCATATATCATAATCCCAAATCAAAATTTTTAAAGAAAACTATTATAAAAAATTATACATTATTGAAAAAAACCGAAAAGGTGGTGGAAAAAAAAATTATAAAAAATAAATTAAAAATAATTTTTTTTAAAAAAAAAAAAAAAAAAAAAGGAAAAAATTTGTTCAATTAAATAAAAAAAAAAAAAAAAGAAAAAAAACTAAAATTATATTTTGTCAAAAGTATATATATTAGATATTTAGTTGTGTTTTATTTATTCAAACGTAACAAAGTTTATTTATAAATTTATAATAATAATAATAATAACAATAAAAATAATATAATAATAATATAATATTTTACTGCAAAAAAAAAAAAAGAAAGAAAAGAAAAAAGTAGTATAATTTTTTTTTTTTTTTTTATAGATAATTTATTATAATTTGTTATTTTTTTCTTTTTCCTTTTTTTATATTTTTTTAAATTAATTTAAAACACTCATCAACCATTATCGTATAGTAAACTTAAAAATATCTGTTAGCTAGTTACACATACAATTTAAAGCACACACAGGAACACACACTATTTTCTCTAAATTTATAATTTAAATAATTAACAAAATTGTTTTTTTAAATAAACACACACACAAAATCAAAAGATTATTTTTTTTATTAATAACAATAAAATTAATTTTTTTTTTTTAATAGTTATATAAATAATAATTTTTATTTGATTATTTTATATTTTTTAGTAAATAATAGTAAAATTAGAATTAATTACACTAAATTTTATTTATCTATTATATTTGTTATTATTTTCACGCCACAACATATGTGCACATAGATAGCTTTTTTTTTCCACATTGGAACATATTCTAATTTTTTTTATTTCTTTTTTTTTATTTTAACGTTATAGTATATTTTATATTATTATATAAATAATAATATAATATGACATTAGTAAATATGGTACACCACACATTACCAGCTATACAACCAACAGCAACAAAAGATGGTAGTGGTGTTTGTGAAGAAATAATAAAGGAATCATTATATCCAATTTTAGGACAAAAGGCCAATGAAGTTGAATTCGAACAAAAACAACAACAACAACAACAACAACAACAAAATAATATAAATAATGACAATAATAAAGAATTTAAAGAGTTTAAACAACAAGAAACTCAACAAGATTTATATAAAATTTCAAAAAAAGATAAATCAGAGGATTTAAAAAATAGATATACCAGCACAAAAAGAAATCAAGAAATTATCTCTGTTACATTGTTTGCAGTTTTTCTAGGTATTTCAATTTATCGTATGCTCACTTGGTATTTTGTAAAAAACATTTGGATTTTCTTAAGTTCATCAGTATTGGCTATGTTTGCCGCCGACTTTTTCTCTGGAATTGTTCATTGTAAATATCATTATACATAGTATTAATAAAATAGTAGTTGTAGTAGTAGTATCAAATTTACTAACCAGATATTGTTATATCTATTATTAAAAATTATAGGGGCAGCTGATACATGGGGCTCATTAGACACTCCATTGGTCGGTAATAGTTTTATTAGATCATTCCGTGAACACCACGTTGCACCAGTAGCAATGACTAAACATGATGTTATTGAAACTAATGGTGATAATTGTATGTTAACTGTTCCAATTCTTGCATTCACTGCTTTCGCTAAAATTTCAACAAATACTGCATACGATATGTTTATTTTTAGTTTCTTAGTCAACCTTTGTTTTTGGGTTTCATTAACCAATCAAATTCATAAATGGAGTCACACCTATAATGTTCATCCAATTGTTGGTTTCCTTCAACGTAATGGTATCATCCTTTCAAAGAGAGATCATGCTATTCATCATCGTAATCCATTCGATAAGTTTTATTGTATTACTAATGGTTGGTTAAACCCATGGTTAGCCTCAATCGGTTTTTGGAAAAGATTAGAAAATGTTATCACTCTCTTAACTGGTGCCATTCCAAGAGCTGATGATCAAGCATGGACAAGTTAAAAATTATTAAATTTAGTAATAAATAATAATATAATAATAAAATATACATATAAAAAAAAAACAAAAAAAAAAAAAATAATATTAACAACTATAACCAAAAACAACACAACATAACCCAAAATAACATAAATAACAAAGCAAATATAACCAACAAATCTTAATAATATTATATTATTATTTAAATTTATATTTATTGTATTAATTCCCCTTTAAAAAACAAAAAAAAAAAAAAAAAAAATTTACATTCCAAATACATATTAATAAAACTAAAAAAAAAATGTATAGCTATGATTTTATAAAACACTTGATCGATTGGATTACTTTGCACAGTAATTTAATTCTTTATCAGGTAAATAGTATATAAAATTAATAAATATATTTTTCTCTATTTAAAATAAAATGAATCGATTTTTATTATTTATTATTTATTATTTATTATTTATTATCTAAAATATCAACCCAATTTTTACCAGCAGCTCTTTTTGATAAACCCAATGCAGGCAAAATTTGTTGAACTGATGGATGATTACCAAAACTTAAACCTTCAATAGAGAGATAGGAGTGCATAATGTCTGGAAGTGTACCAGGTTCTTTAGCAATACCACCAATTGCTTCGTGTTGAGCAGATGTTATAAAAGCATCAATTGATGGAAAGTCGACTAAGTCGTATCTATTTAACATGGTTAATGATGCACCAATCCAAAATGAATAACATGTATCTGGATCTTTATTTGTACGACCTGAGAACCCGGTAATTTGTTTTTTAGCTAACCAAAATAGTAATTGTTCTTTAAATGGTTCCAAGACATCTAATCTTCCCATTAATGTTAATGAGGCAATGGCACAATAAGTTGGACCGCCGTGTGCTTCTTGCTTTGGGGTTTGGCCAAATGCACCCTCATAAGATAAACAGCTGAGTATATATTTAATAGCACTTTCTTTATCAATAGCGGACCAGTCATCCAACATGAATGAAACTGCACTTGCTGTAAACAAGTGTCTTAAGTCATAGTCTCCAACATGTGGTGAACCGCTACATGCCCCATCTATACTTCTTTGTCTAAATTTTAATGATTTAATAATTGCTTCTTTATTTACACGTTCATAGTTATCTCCTAGTATTTTTAAAATTAATAAGGCACAGTAGGTGTTGGGTGTTGATGGTAAATCAAATTCTGGTGGGCACTCTGCATTATCGTTGAATAATTTATTAGAGTCACATTTACAAAAATCTTCACCAATGAAATTATAACCTCTAAATCCACAGTTTTCGATATTGTGTTCTTGATTTAAAAATGAAATTTGCCAATTTAGTATATATGTTTATATTGTGCCATTTTAACATAGGTTATTTTACATACCTGGATTATCATTTGATGGTAAAATTTGTCTTGAATATACATAGTTTATAATTTCTTGTTTTTGAGCATCAAGTACATCTACTTTATCCAATAAATCTAAACCAGCTACAACGAAATATATGAGTGAAAGGTGATTTGGTAGACCTGATAAATAGGGTTGTGGAAGTGCATTTAATGATCTTTGGAAGAATTTGGCTAATTTTTCTGGATTGAATGTGGTCATTTTGATTTCTATTTTTAAATTTGACAATTGTTTATTGTTTATTTATTTTATTTATTTTATAAATTTATTTATTATACAACACTAAAAATAACACAAAATAAAGAAACAATAATAATATTTTAAATTAAAATTTATTTATTTATCAAAAGTAATTGGTGATGAAAAATGAAATAAAATTATTTTTTAATTTTTTTTTTAAAATTTTTTTTTTAATTTTTTTTTTTTATGATTTTTTTTTTTTTTTTTTATTAATATTTTTCAAAAAAAAAAATTATTTGATTTAAAATCTATATTTAAAAAATAATGACAGATACAAATAACAATAGCAACAATGGATATTCTTTAAAATTAATTAGTTCTATGAAAAGTAAGTGTTTAAAAAAAATACTAAATTTCAAAATTTTTTTTTAGTTTTTTTTTATTTTTTATTTTTTTAAAAATTATATAATTAATTAATTAATTAATTAATTAATTAATTAATTTCGTTTCTTTTTCTTTAAATTATTATTTAGAGGAAGCACCATTCGATAAAATTTGGAATTTAGCATGGCATCCAAGTGGTGATATATTAGCAACATGTGCAAACGATAAATTAATTCAAATTTGGACTAAAGACGATAAAGATAATTGGGTATTAGCTAAATCATTAGAAGCACACGAAAAAACTGTAAGAAGGGTTGCATGGTCACCATGTGGTAGATTTTTAGCAGGTGCTAGCTTTGATGCATCAACTTCAATTTGGGAAAAGACTAAAGATCAATTAGATTTTAATCATGTTTCATCATTAGAGGGCCACACTTATGAAGTTAAATCAGTTGCTTGGGATTCTAGCGGTACATTATTAGCAACTTGCAGTAGAGATAAATCAATTTGGGTTTGGCAAAGTAATTATGGTTTTTAAATAATAATATAAACAATCAAACCAAATATTAATATTATTTCCCATTTATTAATTATTAGTGGAAGAGGATAATGATTTTGAATGTCTTTCTATTAATAGTGGACATGGTCAAGATATTAAATGTGTTTTATGGCATCCTCAAGAAGAGTTATTAGCAAGTAGTAGTTATGATGATACAATTAAATTTTGGAAAGATATTGATGGCGATTGGTTATGCATGTATACATTAACAGGCCATGAATCATCAATTTGGGATATATCATTCAACAAAGATGGTAGCAAATTAGTTTCATGCGGTGAGGATAAACAGGTTTTCTTTTGGAAATATGACAAGGGTATAGCGCACTTACACATTTAAATTTATATTATATTTTAAGCAGTAAATATTAATATTTTTTAATTTATATAGAAAATGATAAATGGATAAATATATTTAAAATTAAAGAAGAAAATTCAAGACCAATATATAGCATAGATTGGTCTCATTTAACAAATAAAATATGTTCAGGTTCAGCTGACGATAGTATTGTAATTTATGAAGAGGGTACCGGCGATAATAAAGATCAATATAAAGTTTTATTAAAAAAAGAAGGTGCTCATGATAGCGATGTCAACTGCACAAAATGGAACCCAAAACACGAAAACATTTTAGCCTCATGTGGAGATGATGGAACAATTAAAATTTGGGAATTAATAAAAAATAATTAATTTAAAATATATAATTTATATTTTTTTTTTAACTTATATATCTATGACTTTTTTTTTTTTTTATTTTTTTTATTTTTTTTTATTTAGTTTATAGTGTAGGGAAATATGGGACAGTAATAGCTATTAAAGACTAAAATAGGATTTAGAAATAAAGGGGAATATATTTGGATTTATTGCTATATGGATAATTATTATTTTTTGTAAATGAATAAATAGTTTTGCGCGATGGTGTTTGGGCATATTCAAGGGCTTATTAAACCAATTTTAACATCATTTTTATTAATGTGCTAAAATATGTTTATAAACTGGTATAGAGTTTAATAGTGGTATTGCTCTTTGATGATTTGGCCATTTTTCCATTCTTGGAATAACCATTTACTTCTACGGACTTTTTCACCTTCGTTGGTGGTATATTCAATGAAAATTTCATAGCATGAGTTATCACCATCACAAATTAATTTGAGGATTCCAATTTCGGTGACGGTAATTCTTGAGGCGAATTCTTGTCTCATAGTACGGTTTTGTGCTTTACCAATACGACCTGTGGAATCACCGTTATTATAGGTTACAACTTCTTCATGATAATAGAGGTCAAATACTTCCATTATTCTATTTTCTTTATAACCTTTAACAATGTCATGTATTGCTTTTTTATTGTTTCTGGTGGCAATTTTATTTTGTCTTTTTTTTTCAGCATTATCTAATTTTGTTTTAATTTTGCTGAAAAAACCTTCTACCTTGGTTTCAAAGTTTGAAACTTTATTTTTTAATGAATTTTTAGTTGATGAGGATGATTCTTCGTTTTTTGGTTCTTCTTTTTTTTCTTCTTGTGCATTTATTGATTCTTTACCTTCTGCATTTGATTCTTCAGCTTTTGGTTCTTCAGCTTTAGTTTCTTCAGCTTTAGTTTCTTCAGCTTTTGGTTCTTCAGCTTTTGGCTCCTCTGTCTTTGGCTCCTCAGCTTTTGGTTGTTCAGATTTTGATTCTTCTGCTTTTGGTTCTTCAGTTTTATGCTCTTCTGCTTTAGTTTCTTCAACTTTTGGTTGTTCTTCAACCTTATTATCAATAGTTGTTTCTGATGATGACATTATTTAAAATATAGAATGATTTATTATAAAATGCTTTTATTATAATATAAAAATATAAATTAATAAATTAATAAATTTATTTTTCAACTTGTTGTAAAATATAAAAACAAAAAAAAAAAAAAAAAAAAAAAAAAAAAAAAAAAATTATTAATTGTACTTTTAATGTAATAATTACTAATATAAAGTGTGTATTATTTTGGTTTTATTGTTTAAAATGAAATAAATAAATAAAAAATAAAATAAAAATTAATTTATATCTTTTTTATAAAAAAAATTTTATAAAAAATATATACACTACCTACCATACATTATTAATATTCTGTCTATAAACAAATAATTATGCATTACTTCTGACTTCTCAATCTAGTTTCATTGTAGTTTATATACATAACATTCACGAATGAAAAGTTTGCATAATATTTTTATTTATAATTTGGCTTTATAGTAAATAACATTTATGTTTATATTATAGCTTTATTCAAACGTCATCAACACTATAAAATTTAAATTATTTAATGTATATATATTTTTTTTTTTTAAAATTTTTTTTAATAGATTTAAATTTTTAGATAATTTTTTTAATTAAAAATATACACTTTTTTAAAGCATTGTATTAAATTTTTTATCACACCACCAATTTAATAATTTTAACCATTTAAATAATCTTGAAAATGGTTTTTAAGATTTCAATTTATAATAGTGAAAAAAAAAAAAAAATTAATGATCAAATATAATAATTGAAGAGTTTATCTTGGATAACTTTGATTAAAATTATTAATAATTTATAAAGAAAAATAAAATAAAAATATTATATATTAATATACTTCATTATATATAAATCTTTTTTTATGAATTTAAATTTTGTTTAGAGAAATATTAAAGTGTGTTTATTAATTTTTTAAATCTTGTAGTGTCCCAAAGATATGTGGGGTGTCAAACCATAGGATTACAATTAGTGTTTTTATTGTTTATTTTAAATTATAATATACCATTGTAATGGTTATCATTAAATGGTATATGTTTTTTATTTAGATAACTTTGACTATTATTATAAATTATTAAATCTATTAGTTGATTGGTACTTTCAATATAATCTTTTGGGTCTTCTATTTTTTTTTCAAAAAGCATTATGTCAGAGTCATTATTTTTTTCATTAAATTGGTTTCCTCTTTGCTTTAAAGTCTTTATAAATGATTTGCTAAAATTTTGTAATTGATCATCATTTTCGTTATAAATTACTAGGTAGTGCCACTTATTCTATAGTTATAATAATTTAAAAAAAATTAGAACCAATTTATTTTTTTTGTGATGGGTGGGGGTACCTACATTACATGATATTAAATAAGGGTAGTCATATTTTTCATAATACATCCATACTGGTATAAAAATTGGTAAAAATAAAGATAATAGATATTGGGCAAAGTTTCCTGAATTGAGTAAATCCTTTTTAAATATTTTTGAAATTGTTTTTGCATTTGAAAATGGACCGCTATCTATAACAACACCTTTTATACAATTTAATAAATAATGATATTTTCTATTTTCATTTAATAATCTTAAATGATATCCTAAATGGGATGCACCACCTGCAATAACATGAAATGATAGAATTCTTGAATAGTGAGGATTGTCATCAAAATATCTTATAATGAAATCATTTACTTCTTTTACACTGTTTCTATAAAATAATATTGAGTTTGAATTTCTATATAAAATTATGTTAAAATCAAAATGAGTTTTTACAAAAATTATTATTTACTTACAATGGTGGGTTATAAATAATACAGTTAAATCCTTTTAAAGTCCATACATCCGAATATTCTATTAGGCTAGATCTTAATGAACCAACATTTCCATATATTATAACCAAGGGATTATTAACATCATTTGAGTAAGATCTATTCTTTGATTCTATAAACTCTATTGACATTATTATAAAAATTTGTTGTTGTTATTATTATAATAATAAAGTTTAATTAGTTTTATTGTGTAAACAATTAAAATTATTAAAAGAAAAATAAAATATATGAAATTTTTTATTTTAAAAAACAAATGAACAATAAATGAATGAAAACTATATAACAATAAAATATTATTTTCTACACTTTTTTTAAATTATATTCTTTTGGACAGAAAAAATAAAAAATAAAAAGGTTAAACAAAGCAATGTAATAATAATTTAAAAAAAATTAAAAAAAAAAAAAAATCTATAGATATAGTGCACTAAATTTATATTAATAAATAATAATTATAACATTGTAAATTTATTAAATATATGTAGTGCTTGTGTCATTGGAAATATAAAGGGTATTTATAATATGAGAGTGTTGTTTTGAGGTGTTTAGATAAACAAAAAAGGTAAAAAGAATAAAAAAAAAATAGGGCAGGATGATAAAAAAGAAATTTTTTTACATATTAGAGTTTTGTGTTAAAAAAAATATACATCTTTATAATAATATTTAAATTTATACACATACCTTCATTTCATTACAGGAGAGCTAAAAAATAAAAAATAAATTGATGAGAAATAAATGTTTTTACAAAGCGATAGTTGATATAATTATAACGAGTATATTTATTTAATCCAAAAAAAAATTATTATTTTGATTCCACAAAAATAAACATACTTTAAATTTATTTATATTTTTATAATTTTATAATATTTAATAGTTTTATTATTTAAATTCTTTAATTTAATTTATTAATTATTTATTTAATTAAAAATAATAATAATAAATGTAAAGGAAGAAAATGAAACACGCTATAATAAGAATTGGACCATATTTTTTAAAGAATAATTTTGAACTTAATGCTACAGTTTGTTTTTCATATTTTACTGAATCTGCTAAAAGTAATTCTGATTTTTGATTAATATCTAAATAAAAACAATGATTTTAATTAGTATGTGTGCATTTATTAATAAGGTTTTATGAGAAACTATAAATAATTACCGCTTAATTTTTCACCTCTTCCAACAATATCTTTAATATTCTTTGTCATAATATTTCTAACCTCTTCTAATTCTGTTGAGATATTTGAAAGATTTTTTTGAGTTCTTGTATCTTGATATTGTTTTTTAGTTTTGGTTATAAATGATTCTATAGTAGATAAAAAGTTAGGTTAGTTATTTAATGAGTTATATATTCGATATTTATAAATGATAATCTTACCAAATGCAATAAATTGGTAAGGTCTTTTGGCAGTTGGTACTTCAAAACCATAGGTATTGTAAAATTCTTTTGCTAATTCGTCTAAAAATTTAAATGTTAGTTTTTTGGAGTATGATTTTTCGCAGAATGATAAATAACAAATTTCATGTTCAATAATATAGCTAAAAATAAAAAGGAAATAAAAAAGTTAATAATTATATATATTGAAGTGCATATTTATTATAAAACTTACGCAAAATAATATTTATCGTTGACATCAATGGTTACAGCTTTATCAGATACCCTGGATAATTTACCAAAGATTACTTTTGCTTGTAATCTGTATTTATCAAAAGTAGGATTTAATGTATCCATTGATTCTGATAAAATTAATCCATCTGAGACTCTACAAAGAATTGCAAATAATACCATCTTTTTTTATTTGTTTTATTATTATTATTATTTATTATTATTATTAATATTAATAAGCTGAAAACAAAATATATATTATGTTATTTTTTTTTGATTGTTTTATGTGGTCGAGTCACTAACTAATATGATATTTAAGTTAAATTAATTAATTTTAAAAAAAATAAAAAAAAATAAAAAAATAAAAAAATTTATTTGAAAAAAATAATTTAAAAAATAAAAAAAAAATAATTTAAAAATTTTTAAATTTTTTTAAAAAAAAAAAAAAAAAAAAAAAAAAAAAAAACTTTTTTTTTTGGCATATATAACATTGCTACAAAGTAATCGAAAACCCATTTTATTTATATATATATTTATTTATTTATTTGTTGTTTGTAATATTATAATAAAAAATTTAATTTCTTTTTAAATATTAAAATAATATTTTTAGAAAAAGCACACTAAACTTTAATTAATAAAAAATTTAAAATAATTAAAAATATTTCAAAATAAAAATAAAAAAAATAAAAAAAAATAAAAGATAAAAAAAATTAATACATACACATTTTTAATTAAAAGGTATTATAATGACTAAAAAAAGTAATTATAATTACTTGAACGAAGAAGAAGATGATGATGAATCACAAATTGCGGAATCTCCAATGGTAAGTATATATTCATTCATTTGTTTTTTTTAAAAAATAAATAAAATACAAACTAAATTTTAATTTATTTAAATAGGCATTATTGGATAAAAACAATAGTTTAAATAGAAAAAAGAATGTAAAATTTAATTTAGATACACCGTTACCAGTAATTAGGGATAAATCTTCAACATATAGCGTAAATAATAATAATAATAATGGTTCGGGAAATAATACACTACCATATATTAGTGATTATAAAGATGATTTTGACTTTAAGAGATCAGATTATGATTATGATGATCTTGAAGATGAAGATATGTTTGATGAGCATTCATTTTATAAAACAACTTACTCCACAAGAAAATGTTTAAATAGATTATTACTTTATATTAGACCCCAAATTTGGTATTTTGCATTTGCATTCTTAGCACTTTCAATTACAACATTATGTCAACTATCACTACCTTTTTATTTCTGTATGTATACCTTTACTAGTATATTAATATTAAAAAGAAAAAATCAATTGATCATTGTTTATTAATAATCTGCGATCATATTTTTAGCAAACGGACTTCAACAAACTATAGCAGGTAATGCAATTAACCAAATAAATACAACTATTATAAATGTAACGGATAGTGGTGGTAATCCATCCCCAACACCATCTAGCAATACACCAACACCATCTCCAACCATACCAAGTCATTTAGCATTCCTCCATATACCATTTTATAATTTTGATTGGTTCGAACTTTGCAAAGTAATTCTTTTAATTATTTTGGTACAAACACCATTTTTATTTATTAGATATTTATTATTTACATTGGCTGGCTTCAGTGTTGTAACAAAACTAAAGCGTGATCTTTTCAGATCAATGTTAACTCAAGAAGTATCCTATTTTGACTCTAATAGGTCCGGTGATATTAAAGCTGTTATTGCTTCAGACTCTGTAAGTTTTAAATCATATAATCATTAACCATTTTAATGTAATAATTTATTTACTAATTCTTTTTATTAAATAGTCAATATTACAAAATTGTTTAACAGTTTCATTATCAACATTGGTTAGATGTATATTACAATCAATTGGTGGATCATTAGTTTTGATGTTTTTATCATGGAAGGTCACGTTATTGTTATTTTCATTTATTGTAGTATTAATTGGATCCTATATAATTTTCAAAAATATAATTTATCCAAGATTCATTTATATTCAAGATAAGCATGTAAATATTGGCACCATTATAGATGTCTCAATTGAAAATATAAGAGGAATTCGTTTATTAAATGCGGAAAGTAAAGAATTAAGAAACTTTGAAACAGAATTAGAGGCATTATTTAGGGCATCACGTTCATTCACATTATTGAATGCATTTTGGATCTCTTTAGGTAGTTTGGTTGTAATGTTGCTTATAGTTGCAATCTATCTATTTGCCATCAACGAAACTTTGGAAAACAACATCATGTTACTTCAATATATATTATATGGTTTAATGGTGACTGCAGCAATAAATGGTTTAATAGGGTCGCTAAATGAACTTCAAAAACTCGTTTCATCATGTCAAAGAATATTCTCACTAATCGATCGTAAACCAATCGTTCATTTCCAAGGTGGAATCACTCCAACCATAGAGCAAGATATCACATTTGAGTCTGTATGGTTCCATCATAAAAATAGTAGCACCATGTTATTATCCGATATCTCATTTGTAGTTTCAAAGGGTCAAATAGTGTCATTAGTAGGCCCATCACAATCTAAAGAGACTATTTTCTCACTAGTTCAAGGTTTATACTATCCAACTCGTGGTGCTATCTATGTCGATAGAATTGACTCCAAAGTATTGGATCTCTATTTCTTTAGAAATCGTCTTTCAACCATCACATCAAATACTATTATTTTTGAAGGAACAGTTGAACAAAATATCAGATATGGTCTATCAACTCTATCAAATCAAAATGTTATTGAAGCATCAAAAAAAGCAAATCTACACGATTTTATTATAAGCTTACCACATGGTTATGATTCAACAATTGGAAAAAATAATTTATTAAACTCATTACAATGTCTAAAAATATCAATTGCAAGAGCATTTTTAAGAAGTATGTATATTTATAAAATTAAAAAAAAAATTTATAAAAATTTACTAAAAAACTTTTTTTTTTTTTTTTTTTTTAGACCCATCAGTTTTATTAATTGATGAAACCTCATTAGGTTTTGATTCAAACGAAATCGAAGAATCTTTAGAGTTATTGGTTAAAAATAAAACTTCTATTATAATTGCAAATAAATTATCAACACTAAAGAAATCAAACCAAATTTTAGTTTTTGACGATAATAGAATTGTTGAAAGAGGAACCCATGATGTTTTATCATCCAATACCAATAGCTTTTATTCAACATCAGGTAATTATTATTCAAATAATAAATAAATATCAAACCAAAACATAATACTAATAAAATTATTTATTTTTATAATTTAGTTTTAAAACAATTTAAATAATAAAATTTTAAACTTTTTAAAAAAAAAAATAAAATTTCTAGATAAAAAATATAAAATAAAATATATTTATATTTATTAAAATTTAAATTTCTAGATAAAAATATTTATCTATTTAATCTATTTATTTTATTTGTTTTTTTATGGGTTGATTGAAAATTGTTCTTTTTGTTGTTTGAATTAGTATAAAATGAAAACCTTCTTTTATGAGTTTACCAGTTAGTCTATTCAATTCTTTTAATCTTTTACACATATCAGCTGTGGCAGGAGTGTCAGGAGTATCTCTTGTGGGACAGTTTCTGTAGCTTCTATATTTTTCATACCAATCATGTGTCCAATAATCTCTTTTAATTTCTAACCCGATAAGCTTGTGTTGCTTTTAATGGCTCATCGATATAATCTCCACCTTTAAATAAGTTTTTTTTTTTTTTTAATAGTTTTTCTTTTAAGTATTATTATTTGATTCTGTTATTTTGAAAATATAAAGAATTGGAAAAAAAAAAAAAAAAAAAAAAAAATTAAATTAAAACCCCACCACACAATTTTTCTTTTTTATAAAAATTAATTAAAAAATAGATAAAACTGTTTAATTATTATAAATATACAAGTTTAAATGCTAACTGCTTTTGTTTTAGATATTAAAGAGTGATGATGCAGAAGAAATCATTATTAACAGTACCGTTCCATGAAAAGTATGGTGAGCGTGCTTGGTTCCATTTAAACAACTATGGTTATAACAGAATCGAAAGGGAGAGGCACAAACTGAACAAGCTATTCAATACAATAAAGACAAAGAAGATATTGAATACGAAATAGGTGTTCAGGCATGCGTGGAAAGAAGTAAATTGGGTACATTTTAATTGGAAATAGATAAAGATAAATTACTTTCAAGATATTGTGGTCCATTTATAGCAATTGAACGGAAATTTATTTGTTGATAAAACTCAAATCCCTGTGATCTAAGAAATTGACACAATTGTAAATAAAAGAAAGAGAATATGGAAAAGATTCAAGAATCGAATATTAAATCCTTTACAAGAATGCTGGTGATAACAGGGACGTATGGGTTCTAGAGAACCACTCAGATGATTGTCCAAAATTAGTAAGTCATTTTGAAGATGAACTTGCGAAAACATTTTCAGTCGAGAATAACACATCAAAATAGACTTAATAAACAAGCATATAAACGCATAGAAAATGAAAAAATTCATTTCAATTTAGGGAATCTTGTCAAGAAGGTCTCCATTTATAAACTAATATAAATATTTTTAATTATTTGATTTAAATTATAAAAATTATAAAAATATTTAAAATTTAAAAAAATAATTCGAAAATAAATGATTTTATCATAACATAAATAAATACATAGTTTTATAACTTTTTAAATTATTATTTTCTTAAATACTTAGTATATTCATATCTACATTACAAACCTAAAACTATTTTTTAATTTTTTTATTTTTTAAATTTTATTTTTATTTTATTTTTAATTTTTATAAATTATTTAAAATAAAGGAAAATATAAATATATTATTTGGTTGAGATATAATTATAACTGTACTATTTTTTTAATTTTAAAATGTATATGAATACATTACAGCCACTTTGACTAAAGACCCAAATAAACTTCCTCCAATTACACTAACCATCTATTTTTATATTTGAGATAATTGATCATTTTGATTTAACTTTATTTCCACTACTCTTAGTTCCTGTAAGTTCATGTATCAAAATTTTTTATTCTGAAAGCAATGCTGTTTCTAATCCCTATTTGAAAAACATATTTTAACATTGTTATTACTATTATGTTGTAGAGGTATCATTTCTCCTGTTCCATTAACAACGTGCTTCTTTGTGTTTTTATAATTAATTTATTTGGGAATTGTCATATAACGATTTAGATCCATACATTACTAAATTAAAAAATAATAAAAAAAAATTAAAAAAAAAAAAAAAAAAAAAAAAAAAAATTAAAAAATAATAAAATTTTTGAATTATAATAAAGAATCTATAATTTCCTTAAGTAAATAAAATATTATAACCAAATTAGGTATACTTTTTGGAAATTTAAATCTATAGTTATCATAAAAGGAAACACACATCCCTTATAAAATTTTAAACCTTTAAAAAAAAAAAAATTTCTAGATAAAAATATTAATTTATATAATCTATTTATTTTATTTGTTTATTTATTGGTTGATTGAAAATTGTTCTTTTTGTTGTTTGGATTAGTATAAAATGAAAACTTTCTTTTACGAGTTTACCAGTTAGTCTATTCAATTCTTTTAATCTTTTACACATATAAACTGTGGTACGAGTGGCACAAGTGGCTGAAGTGGCTGGAATATCTCTTTTGGGCTACTTTCTAAAGCTTTTATATTTTTCATACTAATCAATGTGTCCAACAAACTCTTCTAATTTCTAACCCGATTCGAGGTAAGCTTGTGTTGCTTTTAATGGCTCATCTATATAATCTACACCTTTAATAAGTTTTTTTTTTTTAATTATTATTATTTGTTTCTGTTATTTTGAAAATATAAAGAATGATTGGAAAAAAAAAAAAAAAAAAAATTTTGAAAAAAAATTTTTTAAAAAAATTTAATTAAAACCCCACCACACACAATTTCTTTTTTTTATAAAAAAATTAATTAAAAATAGATAGAACTGTTTAATTATTCCCATAAAATATTTACATTTCATTGCTTCATATAAAAAACTTTTTTTCAATAATAATTTTTGTAAAATTTTAGTTTGCTTTACTTACAGATAAACTATTATAGTTTATAAAACGAATCTTTAGCTACTTTAATTTCTACCACTGCATTATCGCTTATTGTTTTTTGGATAAGCCAGTGTATAGATATGTTCACATATATAGCGGCTATATTATATTATAGCCTTGCAATGATTATATGTGACATATAATGTTAGGATCGAAATATCCAACATAGTAATTGTACACTAGGAAAAATTCGAATACGGGGGGTTTATTTGTTCCCTGGGCTAAGACTTATCCAAAAATTAATTCTTTTAAAAAAGAAGAAGGCGATAATGCATAATTAGTAAAGAAAATAAAATATGTGTATGATTTCGTTCTTACCCAGTTTATCTTTCCGGTGATCAATAATATATTATTAATATTAATATTAATAAATGTCCACAAGTTATATTAATAAATAAAAAAAATAAATAAAATAAAAAAATAAAAAATAAAATAAAAATAATTATAGAAATTTTTCGATTTTATTCAAATTTATGATAAACCTAAATCAAAAATAATTTTATTTTATATTTTTGTTTATTTATTTATTTTAACCTTTTTTTTTTTTTAAAGTGTTTATCTTTAATGTTTATTAAACCTTTTATGTTTTCTATCTCTCCCTCAACTTCTCCCTTTGTCAATTTTTTGATCTTTTTCTTTGTTCCTGTATTTATCTCTTTTTTACTTCTCTTTCTTTTTTTAGAGTCTGAATCTGAATCTGAGAATGAATCTGAACTATATGAATCGCTACTATTATAAGAATCACCATATAAAAAAAAAAAAAGTGGTTCGAGGGGACTATACTACTATCACTATCAGATGAATCATCACTACTTTCATATGATCTTTTTCTTTCACTAATATTTAACCCAAAGTAATAAAAAATAAAATTCTTGAATATATAAATATTAAATAATTTTTAATATATTTATTTATTTGCTTATTTGTTTTTTGATAATTGTATTTATCTATACTATATTTTATAATATATAAAGAGTATATTTAAATATAATTTTTATTCTAAATATCCATTAATACTTTGGTGTTTAATTCTTTTTGTGAATTAATTTGTTCGGTTAGTTCTTTAACTTTGTATTCAGCAGTTGTGAAAGTATCTTCTGGACCAATGAATAAATTGTATGGAAGATTGATTTGATGTGAATAATGGTCAACGAGTAAATCAGCAAACTTATTAGTGTCTCCTGGAATTCTATTGGCAAAAAGAGGTGCAGTCATTTTAATCCAAGCATTTCTAGAGTCGTAATCTGCGATTTGATTTTTGGCATAACCAAAGTCATTTGACATATTTGTTTGGAATCCACTCTTAAAGTAACCGAGAATAATACAGGCAACATTAATACCGAATGGTTTGACATCACCAGCTAAAGCTTCTGTGGCACCTACGAGAGCAAATTTGGCACCTGCATAACCACCAAACAAACTGAAACCTTTGAAACCAGCACTCGATGCTACATTGAAAATATAGCCAAATCTATTTTTACGCATAAGTGGAAGAACATGTCTGATAACATTTAATGGTCCAAAATAGATACAATCCATCATATCTCTACTTTCTTTATCACTAATCTCTTCGATACAACCTACTAAACCATAACCTGCACAATTTGCAACATGAGTAATTGTCCCAAATTTTTCAACTGCTTTATTAATTGAATCTTTGACTGACTCTTCATTTGGGAGATCAACCTGTAATCCGAAAAAGTTGTTATTGCCATATACACCTTCCAAACCAATAAACTTTTTTGCATCTCTGGATGTACCAACTACACGATTCTTTCCATCTTTTAATAATTTTTGTACTAAAGATAAACCAATACCACTGGTACTACCTAACCATATACCATTTTAAAAAATATAAAATATAAAATATAAAACAAAAATAAAAATAAAAAAAAAATAAAAATTAAAAAAATAAAAATAAAAATAAAAATTAAAATTTATAAAATATTGATGAAAATAAAAAAAATAATTTTTACCTGTAACATACCAGACATTGATTTCTGGTTTTGAATTTGATTGTTGAATTGCTTCCATATTTTTATTTATAAATATTTATATAATTATTTGTTTGATTGAACTTATTTTGAAATGATTTAAAAAAATTTTATTTTATTTATAGTTTTTTATTTTTTAATTTAATTTTGATGGTTTATTTATAATTATTTTAATTTTTTTTTGTTATTGGAAATTCAATGGTTTTTTTTATGGATTGATTTCATATTTTTTATTTAAAATGATGTTATTGTTTATATAATAATTACTCTTTGGATAAAAATTTATTATTTTGTTTCTATGGAATCACCTTTTGTTTCTCTTGGTCAAAAAAACTTTTTTTTATTTTTTTTTATTCAAAGAAATAATTTCAAATTTTTAAAACAATTATTTTATTGTCTGAAAAAATAAATTTTGGTCCATTTCGATTAATAAAAAAAGAATTTTCTGAATTTATGTTTTATTTTTTGTTGTTATGAAATTTTTTTTTTTCTTTTTAAAACATATTTTTAAAAACATATTATTTTTGAATAAAAGAATATAATTCTATATTGATTTGTAAATTAAAAATGCATAAATAATCGAAAAAAAAAAAAAAACTGTAAATATAAAAACAAATAAAATAAAAAGATGAAATTAATATTTATTTTATTTATCTTGGAAAGAATCGTAAGATAAATCTTACATTTTTTTTTTTTTTGAAAGAATCTCTATTGTGTAATGTCTGTGCGATAAGGTACAAATTGACACTAAAAGAAAAAAAATAAAGAATAAAAATGGTTTTTGTATAAGATAAAGAAAAAGGTACATAGATTTAAATGAACAATATCAGATATTTTTATTTTACATTGCAGTTAATTTTTTAATATAGAGAAAATAAACATTAAACAAACATTTTTTCTAATATATAAGGTTAGATTGGGGAGAAATTACCAAAATTAGTTAAAAAAGATTTACTGTTTGATTGATATTATCTTTTAATCTTTAATTAAAGTGATGAAATTATAAATTATAATAATAAAAAAAAGTATTATTTATTGGGTAATTTAAAAAAAAAAAAACCATCATAATAGTGAGAAAAATTTAATATTTTTGTGTGTGAATATTTTTTGTGTGCGTGAGTGGGTGTTTATATATTTGCATTTTGTTTGTTTGTTTGTGTGTTTGTATTTTTAAATAGAAGTGGGTAAAGTTTTGTGTGATTAGAGGGTTGTGAATTTAATTGATGTTATGATGAAAAAAAATTTTATATGATGTAATAAAATTAAAAATTATAATAATTATAATAATTGCTTTAATGTAACATTATCTAAAATTATTTAAAAATTCATAAAATGTTAAAATAAAAGTACTTTTGAATTAAAATAAAAAACCAACATTCAAAGGGATTTAATTTATTTAAATAGAAATTAAAAGGTGGGAATATTAATTAAATCATTTGTTTTATTGAAAACAATAATTTAATAATGATGTGAAATTGTCAATATGGCTATTTAATTTTATTTTTTTTTTATTTATTTTTTTAATACTATATAAACAAAACCCAAACTAGTTTTATATTAAAACCATATATAACATTTTTTCCACCTCCCATCAACCTCATTTTTTATCCTTATTTTTTCCCTTATTTCTTTTTTTTTTTTTTTTTTTTTTTTTTTTTTTTTTT